CACTTACAACATTTACACACACACTTTGTTGATATTAACGATTTAGGAAATATTTGTTTCTATAAAGTATGATTGTTGTTTTCAGATTTCTTGCACCGTACGTTGTGAAATGCAAATCTGCCCTCTAATACAGGAATCACTACAACACTATACTAATACAACTTATCAAGTCTAACTAAACCCCAATAATGGTAAGGCTTCGATAGAGGCGTTGAAAAACTTGGTCCGAGTAACTGGATCAATTAGAGCTCTAGACTACGTCACTAGTCTCTTAATATGTAGTCATGGGATCGGTCACTAATTCCTATCGTTAATACAAATTTTACTTATCAGGGGATTAGTAGAGCCAAACAATATTAAACTCTAACTGAGCTGTTAGCTAAGCTGTCTTTATTAAGGATGATATGGTAGTGCTTTTATACTTCAGTACTATTAATTTGTACACAATGAATATGCTTGCTAAATTGACTAAATGTACTAAATGTGATAAATTCAATAAATTCAATAAGTTCAATAAATTTAATAAATTCAATGAATTCGATATGTTGAACTTCCTCCATACTAGATTTGGTCTGAGCCACCTCAGCATACGAAATGAGTCAGATTCACCTAATTTTTTAAAACTAATATGCATCTGACCCGCCACAGATAGAACAGATTTAATCCAGCGATGATTTACCCTTTCACAACGTACGTACGTACGTACATACGTACATACGTAAGTATGTGTATGCATAGTGATAGAACATATTTGTATAAATATGTTAAAGCGAGAAATACAAAAGTGTTAAGACTGAATTATTCTTCATTCGTGATTCATCTATAAAAAATGTCATCAAATAATTATAATCCAGCTGAAGACACAATTAATACAGTTATGACTGGATTACTTCCAGTACTATTAATTGGCCTATTTAAAGGTTTTGAAGATGGAAAAAAAGAAATACTTTCTGTCATAAATATATTTGATGACATTATTATATTTTCATCGATTAATTTATATACTTTAATTACTGGAGTTCAATGGTTTTCACACTATACTTTATTATTTCGAATTTTTTTTATTGCATCAGGGTTCATTTCAATATTTCTAATTATATTTTGTTACTATTTGTTTAAACGATATTGGAAAAACTCAAATAACGAGATGAATGAATATAAAAATAGAGTGAAAGATTATATTAAAAAAATTATTATTTATGCTATCATCCTTTTATTGCTATATTATCATCGTTAGGACATATGGCAGCTCTTGGTGGTGATATTGATAGTATTTTTGGTGTTAATCTTTTTAGTTACATTAGCAAGTATTGTATAGATAATTTCGGGTATAATAAATGTAACAACTATAATATATCATCAATAATAGTGTATGTAATATGTTTAGCACCAACCCTTTTTTCTCTTTTATATAACATTATCAATTTAATTTTGTATTGGAAAGATAGGAGTACGTTAGAGGATAAATTAAGTATTATTTCTAATTTTCATAGTAAGGGTATTAATAGGATTAACCACATTATTATAGCCGTGCTAATTGTTTATCCAGCTATTGTATCAGGATATTTACTTAGTACTGACCCTATTACTACGAAAATATCCTTTGCAATTTGTAGCATTTCATTTAGTAGATTAATTGAACATTTTGGTGACAAGACTGAACAGATCAATACAGCAATATCCTTTTATCTGAATTATAGATTTGATAAAAGAACAATAGATGAGGGAACCATGGATGAGGAAATGGTATATAATGGAACACTGACACGAAATGATTTGATAAAAAAACTAGTAGAAGAAATAGAAGAGCGAACAAAAAAGATAAAAGAACATGCAGAATGGTAACAACAAGTAGTTTTTCACTGCTAGTGTGTAGGGTTTAATATTAAGGGTAAAAAAGTCAGCAAAAGAAAAATTTTAATTATCTTCAAATAATTTGTATTAACAAGAACATATATTGAGAAAGTTTTTCAGGCTATACTGAAATATGGTTTATATCTAGATCTAGTTTATAGTTCGATTTATATTTAGAATGCTATTTAGAAACAGAAATTGTAGAAAAAGCGCGTTCTCAAGCGCCTCAATCAATGGTCAAAAAGTGTTAGGAAATGAATTTTATTTAGGAAAAATATTAAAACTGGTTAAGTGTGTTTATTATTACATAAATAAAATATTTTTATTAGTAAAAGATATTAATTACGTTTGTCATTTCAATCAACAATCTTTTTACAACAAAAATCATCTTTTTTTATACTTGTCCTGGAAAATTTTATAATAAATTGAGCATTAAAAGAAATCGCTCAAGCAACTTTGTTATGGATTTCATTTTTGGTACCAACAAATTATAATCGTTATAATCATCTTTTAAAAGTTTTTATGAAAAAAAAATTCAGAAAGCCTGCAAAACTATAACAACGTAAGGGCTAATTTTGATTGTGGCCTACCGTACAGCGCTGCATACAGTACCCCGGGTATTTTACAAAAAGGTCTGTCTAGATTGAATAATAACCCCAAATATCGAGAGATGAAAGGATAACACAAATAATCGTTACTGATCAATATATACTTTGCTATTAAACATATCAAACCCAATGAAAAGATCGCACTGTTAATTATGAAAACTGGACCTAATTCGTTTTTTAAAAAAGGGGATACTATTCCAGGGGGTACTATATGTAGCGTCATATGGGCGGATTTTTTTGTGTTACTTTCAAAAACGATCTAATTCTGGTCAAATTTGCAGATCATTTGGCCCTGGCTTATCAGTTTTAAAACTGATAAGCCAGGGCCAAATGATCTGCAAATTTGACCAGAATTAGATCGTTTTTGAAAGTAACATAAAAAAATCCGCCCATATGTAATAGCGATTACTTATAACTCCAAATTTGTAGATCATTTGGTCAGATTCAGAATCAAAACTTTTTGAACTTGGCCAAACGACCGGCAAATTGACCAGCGATATAAGTAATCGATTCTGTGTTTAAATCACATCAAAATTAGCCCAAATTAATACTTTGTTATTTGTTAGTTATTGCTCAATCCGACTATTATATCAATAATCATTAACAAAAAGCTAAAACTAGTAGATTTTAGATCTGAAGCTTTTAATAAAACACCAATATGAAAGCAAATTATCATTAACTTGTGGTATTTTATTAATAAAGTAGGCATCGTTAACCCCTGTAATTTAGCATCATGTGATATTAAGCGGAAATGTAACACTAATGCCAAGAGTGCTAAGAAGCGCTAGCTAGCGCTAACTATCGCTAAAGTAATATGGATAGGACCAGTAGTTCTAAAGCACTTATTACATTAATAGCGCTAATGCTTTCTTTTAAAATTAATGGTTCCAGTAAATTTGTAATTTGTAAAAAAGTAGCAGAAATCGGAAGTTCAAAGGTATAAATAGACTTAGAAATTACTCTTGTAAGGAACAGAACTCGAAGTTCCAACAACAACTCAATAATAAATAAAGAGTAGTCGTGTCTTCATACACGAACAACTCGAATACTTTATTGAATAAATCCCCTAAAGAGTAACCGTGTCTTCATACACGGATCGCTCGAATAAACCATAACACTGTTATAGTGTCTTCATACACGAATAACTTGAGTATAACTAATAAACTTGTTGTTACGACTACCTGTATCTTCACATACATTTAGCCGTTTGCTTCTTTCGTAATTGCAAATCACACAATCCTCTTTAAAGCGTAGCCGACTAACCATATATTTTTACTTAGCATAAATTGGCATTCGTTAGTAATTCTCTAATATACACGTCGCTATAGTAAAACGTTATACCGAACTTCTAAGAGGTAGTTCGGTGTAACAGTATGCAGGGTTTAGAATAAATTCTTGAAATAAGAATTAGTTATTTATTTTATGGTTTAATTTTTGAAGTTATTAAATTTAAAGCAAGAAAATTTTAAATATAAAATAACTAGCTTATATGTAGTATTCTTAGATCTAACCAGTTAAATTACCAAAAGTTAAACAAGCAGATGTATATTGAAATATACATTATGAAAACGAGCACACATCATTGAAATCGTGAGCACCATTAAATCTTTCTTCTTACTAATTAAATAGTAAACACACTTCATTGTTGAAATAGAACTCCACTATTTGAAATTATAACCTAAAAATCATAAAAACATCCGTTGTTGTAATTATTACCTACCTACTACTAAGTTGTGAATTTATTCATTGTTAAAGGCAATGAACTCATCTATCATTATGAATCTACGCACCGCTAAATTACAAACCTACCCATTGTTGAAATCTTGAATCCACTTACTATTTAAATGTGAATCCATCCACTGTTAAAATGATAAATCTACCAATTATTAAATTATAAATCCATTCTGTTCACTTTTAAAATCATGAACACACCTCTATTAAAATTATGAACCAGTTATTATTAATGTTACAAAATTACGATTGCTTATATCCATTAAATCGTAAATTTATCATTATTGAAATCATGAACTCAGGGTTGGCCAATGGACCAATGTGACTTAGTTGCTACCAATGGACTATGTATATTTTTTTCAGAGCATATCATAGTACATTGCAAACCCTGCGTTATTGAGATCACAAACTCTGTTAAAATTGTGAGTTTGCCACCCAAAATTAAAGTGTTAATTTCACTTCTAATATCGTAAGTTTATATACTGTTGAAATATGAATCTATTCGCAATTAAATCACGAACTTACCCTCCGTTTAAGCCATGAACCACTCACCGTGGAAATCTACTATTGTAAATACGAACTTTTAAATTTCATTTGTTTTGTGAAACTTTCTAGAATTTTTTAATATTATTTCTAGTTAGAACTAAGGCCTCCAAATTTATTAAAAGGTTAAAATTTGATATAATTTTATTGATACAATCTAAGATAATTTAAAAGCTTATAAAGTGTAAAGTTTAAAAATAAAAAATATAAACATATTCTATATAAATCAAACAACTAATATTAAATAATCGTGTAAAAAAGGAGTTAAAAATCTACTTTTGAAACCAATAAATCAATTCCAGAGACAGGTTTAGATAAACCTGCTGATTTATTTTTAACAGCAAAACCCTCAACTAACCTAAACTCAAAATTTCTAATAAGTATAGATAAAATGGATTTAATTTCTAAATGAGCCATTTTCATTCCCAAACAATTTTTCGGACCAGCACCAAAAGGTAAGAAAGTATTATTAGTTATTTTTGATTTTATTTCTGGATCAAGCCACCGAGATGGGTTAAAATGTTCAGCGTCTTCACCCCAAATTAAAGGATTACGATGGATTGCATAAATAGGAATCCATAATGAAGTATTCTAAAAGAAAAAATTGTAAAGTTATGTACTATTTCATTATCAAATATAGTGCACTATTAAAGGTTTATTTAGAAAAATACCTTTGGAATAAGGTAACCATTCATTATTTCATCTTTTGTAGTAATACGAAAGAGTGTAGGTACTTAAATTTATAATAAATTAGAATTAGAATGAAATATAGCTAAATAAATAAAATAATTTAAAGTATAAAGAGCTATTAAAACTATACCAGGTGGAATAATCCTTAAAGTTTCTTTAAAGACACATTCTAAATATTTCATATGTTCAATTTCATCAAAAGTTGGATAATGATCACGGTCAATAAGTATTTCAAGAACTTCTTTACGAAGACGATCCTGAATGTCAGGATTTTTTGCGAGAAAGTATAGTGCCCAAGATATTGCAGTGCTAGTAGTCTCATGCCCAGCTACGAGTAATGTCATAACCTAAAGTTTAATAAATTTATATTTCAGATAAATTTAATAAAAATTTTATAATATATTTTGTATATTTTATATATTTTAATAATTTATAAATAGGTTCTTACCTGACCAATTAATTCATTATGCGTTAATTGTTCATCAACAGGCAAATTTTCATTTGCTTTTACCAACAATGACAATAAATCTTTTCCTCGAACAAGACTACTTCTTTGTTCTGCAATTAGTCTCTCAGAAGTGTTATTAATAATATTAATAGAATCATACTGTTTTTTATTATAAGATGTTGGAAAATTTCCGATTAACGGAAAGTAATTAAGAAGAGCCACGTATAAAGGCGAAGGATTGTTATTAATTATTGAATCATATGCTTGAGCTAATTCAGATTTAGAATTGAATTCGTAATTAAACCCTATTTAAAATAAAATGATATGATTCAATTACTACGTCATTAATGAAACTTAATACTGTATGTAAAATGAATACATAATAATGCTTACCAACAAGACCAATAATATCTAAAGTTGTCTTTGGAATTAATTCTGTAACTGTAATTCGTTCCTCTTTCTTATTACCGATTTGTTTAATCCAGATATCTTTTAATCTGTGTCCCGCTTGAACGATTGTTGGAAGCATTTCCTTAAAAGGTTAAAATAATAATTAGATAATTATACAAAATAATTCAACAAATCGTAATATTAACAATCTTAAAATAATACCTTAATATTGGCAAAAGCAAATGAAGGAGACATCATTTTTCTTTGTCTTTTATGAACATTTCCTTCAGCAAATATAATGCCTTCACCTAAAACATCCTTTGCTAGAGCTTTATTAAACGAATCCCTCGGATATTCATATGAATGACTTAATAGAACTTCTTGGACAAGTTTTGGATCAGAAACTAAGATATAGGGTTTATTCAATAAGCTATGATACCTAACTATTCCACCATATTGTTTTGTCAAGTGAGAAAAGGCTTCATTCATATTTTTATTTAACAAAGAAGCATAATGACCAAGAATAAAATTATCAACAGGTGGACCAGGAACTTTACGTAAAGGAGACAAATATAAGGGATAAATATAACACTTGTATAAAATATAGCTAACTATAACAATTGCTGCTAGGTAGTAATGCATTTTTGAAGTATTTTAGAAGTAATCCAATTTTTTTAAAATATTTTAGAAGTGAATACAATTTTTAGAATGTAAAGACAATTTTCAAAGTATTTTAGTATTTTAGAAGTGAATACAATATGCTAATGTTTCTTGCGACAATTCTTCCCCGTCATTTTATACGTTTTTATATCTTAGATTTCTTACATCAACGTCAGTATTTCGTATATCTGAAAATTTAGAACAAAACATTTTACCGGGATTTACATTTTACCGATACCGAAACAGACGTCAATACAGATTTAGAGAAAAATCGGTAAATCGGAAACCTCATGGAACCGAGTCGCAGATTAGGTACAGACATGGATATTATTATTAAGAGTCTCAGACTTGATTATAGACCAAGCTTTTATAAAGGCCCGACATTTGAAGTCGAGTCGGGCCGGACCGGATTTTTAGTATCTCTAGTGCCTGGTTAGAGTGAAATAGTGATGGCGCAAAAAATTTGGCGGTCTCGTGACTAATTAAAAAACAATGATATCTTAATTTTCGTCTAAAAATTAATGTTTGTATTAATATAAAGTAGAAAGAATTTGTCTAAATTTTTGTGCCGAAAACTTTTATTTAATAACCAAAGGCTAATTTCCCTTGCGAATTTATGAGTTTTTGTGGTTTCGTTTTTTTTTTCGCCTTCAATTTTTACTTCGCATTTGTATGTTACACACTGATCTTACAATCGGATTGGATAAAAATCACGGGACCGCCAAATTTTTGCGTCATCACTTATTTATGTTAGAATTTTAATATCAATCACGAAACCAGACGTTATTTACGATTTTCTGTTTCTCGAATTTTTAGGTTATACCAATGGTCGACATGACCCGGAACAGTCATAAGGAGAAAACAGGTCTAGATCGTTGTTGTGGTTCGGGTCAATTCTGCAAAACTTGTTAGATTTTGAAAATAGTATATAGAGTGGATGACGTTAACCGACGATTCAACTTTGAACGGCCCAAATGCACGGTATAGTCTGGCATCATTTGAGTTATGTCGTAATACGTAGTTGCTGCATAAGTCTTTAAATAGTTACGGCTTATACCGTAACAAATTATAATTACGGCTTATGCCGTAACTACCTAGTTGCAGCATATTTTTAAATAGTTACGGCTGAAATATTTCTACTGCATCTTTAGTCACAATTATCTGTCAAATAACGATAATGTTGTTTAGGTTATTATTTGTTGATCCTCGCTGATCCATTTATGGTCATTTTGCAGAACTGTATTGCTATATTGGGGGAAATGCTACGTAGCGGGTTAGTTACTTTTTAATGTCATCAAGGGTACATTCATGCAGTATGTAGATTAATGCTTTAACAAACCTGGCTTAGCCTCTAAATTTAGTACAAAAAGACTGTGTATCGGATTTAATATTACGTATACTGCATGATGTTTAATATTATTATTATTAGTCATTGTAGGATTGACCGGTTAAAATTATGACCGATCAGCTTGTGTTCTATAATAATAATAATAATAATACGTAATCAGTAAGCCGAATAATCGGGAATTCGATAATCAGTAATTCGAATAATTAGGAAATTGATAATCAAGAATTAGAATAATGATAATCAGAAATTTCATATTTTGATAGTGGAAAAATTGCTGTGATTTTAAATTCTCTATTGAGTATATTTTTCAATCAATGACATCATATTTATTCGAAATCTCTAAGATTCTAAAATTTTTCAGAATCATTTGATTTTCTGTGATTCTACATGTCATCATAATCTACAGAGGTCACAACTTTTTGCAAACCGCCATAATAATTAATTTTAATAAATTAAATCAGAAGATTATGCTTATAATAAGGATGATGGTTTATATTTTTAAGATTCAAACATATCCAGACTGGTTCAGACAGGTCTAATTTATAGATCAAGAATATACTGAATTTTTTTAATCTAAAACTGGGTTTTTAAGGCTAACAGTGGTTTATTAGCTTAGATCAGACTGTTTAGCATCCCTAATTATAGCGAAATTTTACAAAAAATCTTTATTAGTATGCAAAATGTAGTTTTATAGATAAAATTTTTAATTACAAATAGTTTTTATGGTTTTTTGTATTTTTTAATTATATTAATTTCAAAATTAATTGGTCAACAAAAATTTTTTAACTAATATTTTATAAATTAAGTCAGTTAATAAATTAGTATAATCAATCTAATAATGAAATGTTAAATTATTAGATTTTACTAAGCTTTAATGACTTCAATTTTTTCTAGAATTACTAGTCTAAAAAAGTGTTTTTACCAATATGTCAAATTTAATAATCAAATTTAATCTAAAATCTAAACCAACAATTCAATTAATATTAACATAAATTTTAATATTAATGAAAATTATATAACTAATATAATTATGCATTAAATTAATTTCAAAAACAATAAACTATAAAAAAATTGAATTTAAACAGCTCTTCATCACCATAATTTTATATGTATTGTAATATAACAAGTTAGACCTTTGGTTAACAAGTTACTTTACTTGACTAAGTATATTAGTAGTTAAGAAATGTGTTTATATAATTTATAAAAGAAAACAGTTTATAGATAAGATAAAATATTGTTGACTTATTG